TCATAGCGACCCTGTACAGGGGTTCCCAGGCTGTAAATCTTTATGGGAGCAGAAAGCCTCATATTTTCTCCTGCAGAGCAGCTGGTAGTTTCAAACTGCGGAGCTTGCGGTTCGCAGCCCTATTCATAACCACTACACTACCAGAGCTCCTTATTAGAGGGGCAGAAAACAGATAAATGGCTTCCTTGACACAGATTATTGACTTCCTTCATTCAGAAGTTGACTGCAAAGGGACACAAGAGAACTTTTTGGGAAGATGAAAAAGTTTGGTATCTTGACTGTGGTGTGGTTACACCTGTATTAAAATTTGTCACAACTCATCAAACTGTACACTTATAGTAGATGTCGCTTACTATATGAACACTGCTGTTGTTGTTGTTGTTGTTGTTGTTAAGTGGCATCAATTCAGTTCCAACCCATAGTGACCCTGTATAGAGCTTCTGTGGAACGGGTAGTATGTTTGAACCACCAACCCTGTGGTTCAAACTGACCTTGCGATCCAGTGAGTTATCCTGCAGTGACACATCAGGACTCCATATGAATGAACATTGTTGTTGTTGTTGTTATGTGCCGTGGAGTCAGTTCCAACTCATAGCAACCCTCTACAGGGTTTCCAAGGCTGTAAATAGAGCTTAATAAAGTTTGTTAAAAAAAAATAATAATAATAAGACAGGTTCTCTGTAGGATATAACTAGAGAGAAGAGAAGAGAATAACTTTAGTTAACAAGTGGAGAACTTACAGAGAAGTCCTGAAAGAGAGTCCCCAGCTCCAAAGTGGCTTCAGACTTCTGGCATTCTGGAGCTACATCCATATAAAGCACAACAATCAATCTTCCTTTTCTTAAAACGGTGCCTGAGAGAACCTTTGTTTATTGCAACGACAGCAAACTAACAAGACAACTGAGACAGTTTCTGACTTTCTATTTAACTTCTCAACTAGTGACTGGCATATAATAAAAGGAGAATAAGCATTTGTCAAACGGATGGATGATGTGAGATACTTTTCTCAGACATACAGCTTGTTGATTTGAAATTTTTATATTAAAAAATCAGTCCCAAATCCTGAGAATTTTAAAATATACTATTAAAAAAAGCATACTATTAAAAAATAAATCTAAGAGAAATAAAAAAAATTAGTAAGCCAGCTCATATGCAAGAGGACAAGATGAGATAAACCACTTATTTTTTAAAGAACTTAAAAATTTTAAATTATATTTCAAGAAACTAGCTTTGCTAATGGATATATAAATTATTTTTGTCTAGTATTTTGATAGAACACAGTAAAAATGACTTGGAGAAAATAAGAGCCACAGATATAGCTAAAATGTGAATGAAGCTGGAGGCAGGGTCAGGCCACACACCATGAAATGTAAACAGAGGAGGAAAAAACTAGATGCCAGACAGGAAGAGAAGAACCAGGAGAGTCGATTTTACAAATAGAGGTAAATGTAACTAAGATGGAAATAAGAAATCTGATAAGTTTTAAAGAAAAAAAAAAGAGTAATCAATTAGTCTTCAACATGCACAAGAGTTTTACAGAACAGATAAAATGTAATTTCTCTGGCTTCATTTTAGAACTATTTTCAACCTTACAGAACCTCAATTCCAATAATAATTAGTAATTTATGTCAGGGCAAGCCATTTCCCTTCAAAAGAAAGAATTTTTTTCCTCAAATAATTGGGTTAGGTTTCCTGCGGCTAATTAAACAGTGCATATATCATCTCCCCGCAGTATCTCACATTCTTAGATAAACAACTATATTTGATTGGCATGGTAAAATTAGCTTAATGGACTTTCAAGATAAAAGAGGCTTTTAGAGGAGACAGCATGCTATTTTACACACAGAGTACTAGTTTGTTTTATAGTTACACATTTCAAAAAGTATTTCCCAAAGTTTTGTTATTATCACAAACTTATTTTGATTTTGGCACTTAGTCACACAAAAAATGTTCTTTCATGAAGTGTATGATTTGTTGAATACAGGACCGATGGTCTGTTCTGTAAACCTTCACTTAACTCACAATAAAAAGATTTTTTAAAAATGGCTCTTTCACTGTGTTATGGTATAGGGAAAACAACAAGACAAAACAAAATAATAATTTCCCCCTGAAATCCAGAACGAATACATTCATGATTCTAACACATATAAGCTAAACCATCCTTCTTATAGCACCTTGATGAAGAAGGTTACATCATTTTCAATTTACTAAAAGTATTTTCGTAAAATGGTGTTGTAACTAATACTTCTGTGAACTGTTGTTATTGTTGTCATGTGCCATGGAGTCGGTTCCGACTCACAGCGACCCTGCACAGGGTTTCCGAGGCTGTAAATCTTTATAGGAGCAGAAAGCCTCATCTTTCTCCCGTGGAACAGCTGGTAGTTTCGAACTGCTGACCCTAAGGTTAGCAGCCCGATTCGTAACCACTATGCTACCAGAGCTCCTTTGTGAATTAGATAAGGACAAAAATTATCATTAAAAACTCAGATTTAAAATGTAAGCACTTTTCTAAATCTAGCCAATCAGATTATAACAAAAACAGTATCATTAAAAATATGTAAAACCCACAATGGAAAACCAATACAGCTAGTTGACCTGAATTTTTTTATATTAAAAAACAACAGCAGAGTGGTTACAAATCGGGCTGCGAATCACAAGGTCAGCAGTTTGAAACTACCAGCTGCTCCGCGGGAAGAGGCTTTCTGCTCCCGTAAAGATTTACAGCCTCGGAAACCCTGTACAGGATTGCTATGGGTTGGAACGGACTCCACGGCCCATAACAACAACAGGTATGTTTTAAATTTCTAATCTATGATACAATACAGGAATGTAGAAAAGTGAGAATGACAACAATACACTCATTGACTTCATTTCAAATGATAAATGCTTACTGTAAGCAAAGCATTATGCTAGATCTTTGTAATTGATATAAGGTAATATAAAAAAATTCCTATCCTAAAGGGTCTTAAAATTATAAGGGAAGTAAATATTTTTGCATAATAAAAAACAGTGACAAAACAAATAACAGAAGCCAGTATATGATAAAGTACCACAGAAGTGATATGACTTGACCACGGATTTAGAGAAGGAATGATAATTTCGCAAATGTAATTAGGGATAAGGAGTCCTGGTGGTACAAAGGTTAAGCACTCAGTTGCTAAACATGAGAGATCAATGGTTAGAACCCACCAGCTTGCACACAAAGAGAAAAGACTTGGTGGTCTCATGGAACAACTCAGCCAACTGACATAAGACAGTTCATAAAGATAATGCTCTACATCCTATTTTGGTGAGTAGCATCTATGGTTGTTGTCCAAGATAGAGCTCTTAGTCTCTTCCCATCTGGAGTAAAAGATAATGAAGGAAACCAAACAATCAAACAGAAAGCACCCCTTCAAAAGACTGAAACTCAAAGGGAACACACGAGCAGGCATGTAAGTTTGTGGGCAACCACACTGCTCTACTGGTGAGTGGAAGAGGTGGAAAGGCAGCAATGAAGAAATGTGCTGAGTTCAACCACGTTCCATAGACTCCCGTTGACCTGGAGATGAAAGTGAGAACAGTAAGGGCTGGTTGGTCCAAAGTGTGGTGAGACCTAGGGACTCCTCAGCCCACGGACAAGGACATAGCCATGGAGGGCTAGGGCCAAGAGTGAAGCATCCAGCTTCTATGAAGTGAGGGGAGATGCATAAGAATGCCCAAACTTGCAGATAGTACCCATTTGACCCAGCCTCAATGGCTTGATAAGGAGACACAGTTAAGATGGAATTTGAGATCAAAGAATTTTGTTGTTAAGTGCTATCGAGTCAGTTCAGACTCACAGCAACATCTTTAATCAGCCAGCCTACAGTTGTTAAAACCTTATTCAGAGGACGGTGGGGAAGCAAGAAAAAAATTTTTTGAATTGGGAACTTCTCCAGCAAGACACAAAGGGTGAATTCATTCATTCAAAAAATATTTTGGAGTAACAATATAGCAGCCGCTCTGCAGAAGATGAGGCTTTCTGATCCCGTAAGGATTTATACCTGGGAAACCCTATACAGGGTCACTATGAGTTGGAATTGACTCAGTAGCAGTGAGTTGACTATATGCCAACAGAGAACTGGTGGTACAGTGGCTAAGTGCCCAGCTGCTATCGAGAAGGCTAGTGGTTTGGACCCACTGAGAGAAAGATGTGCCCATCGGCTCCTGTTAATACAGCCTTGGAAACTGTTGAAACCGTTCTGCTCTATCCTATAGGGTCGATGTGAGTCAAAATTGATTCTATGGCAAGGTGATTTTGGGTTTCGGGCTGCTAACCTCACAGTCAGCAGTTCGAAACTACCTGCTGTTCCACTGGAGAAAGATGAGGCTTTCTGCTCCCGTAAACATTTACAGCCTCGGAAACCCTGTACAGGGTCGTTATGAGTCAGAATCTACTCCACAGCACATAACAACAACAACAACAGCTACTGAATGAGCTGACAGGGAACTGAAAAAAGAAAGGCAAAATTTCCTGCTCTTAAAATGAAGATGAAATTTCAGAACGGAGAAATAAGGAACAAATCAATTTAAAGATGCAATGAGGCCAAATAGAAAGAGATCACACAGAGAGAGGTAGGCATTGTACAGGAAAAGAAGGGATGGCCATGAATAACAGATTTTTTACTATGCTGGTGTAACTTAGAAGTCCATAGTATTCATAAGACAAATAAAGGAATTAGGAAAATGGTTCTCTGGAGGAAGAACAGGCAGTAGTGGGTGGTTTTAGATTTGAAGGCTCAGAGGTGCTTCCAAAAGGTCAAATCCAGAAATACAGACTTGGTGACAGTCTGCAGGTGGGTACTAGTGGAAGCCATATGAGGGAGAAGGGAGAAAAGCAAAGGCTAGAAGGCAGAGCCTTGTATAAACATCCATGAGAAAAAGAGAAAGGAAAGAGAAATAGGAGAAAAACCTGGGAAGTGAGGGAGTAATGGAAAACTCTGCAAAAGAGTTATTAGGGTGGGTCTTTTGCTCCTTACCTGTTCATTCTTTTTCTGAACCCATTCCTTGTGCTTTTCTTCAGCAATTATTTTTCTTTTTTCACGTTCTTCCATATTTTTTCTTTTTTCTAATTGTTGATTCAATTCCTGTGGATTTTATGTAAAGAAAAAGCAACATTTTATCGTAAGTACCCCTTCTACATATATTTTTTTTAAAAGGCTGAGGTTAACCAAATTAAACAAGTATTCTTCATAGAATATATACCAAAGGGATACTAACTTACTTAAGTAACTAGACTATGATGGAAACAACATTGGTAAAAAGTATAAGTCATTTTTTAGAAATGCAAATAATTGCTTGGCAGCAAAACACTAGTTTCTTAGACTAAACTTCAGCTAAATTACCCTCATTGAAACCAACTTTCCCACACATAAGTTTTGGCATCACTGTAAGGTATTGGCAGAAACAGAGAAATGAAACTTTTTTTTTTTTTTTTTTTAAACAGTTATAAAACCCTCCTAGGTTCCTGGTGAAGACAGAAATAGGAATTAAATAACCCCCAAATTAAAATTTTAACTCAAAGCTGCACCAAATAAGAAACGTGAAAATGCCATTCAATTTTCTTTAGAAAAATAAATAATTCAGATTTTGTTCCCCAATGATTTTATAGCTGCTGGAGTGCAAAACAAAACCACATTCACATGCCCGATTATTTAACTGCCTTGCTGTCACTTGAATCTACATGTTTGGGCATTTCCTCAGGAGAAAGAATGTGGAAGGTATGGCCAAATAAAACTAAAAGCTGAATGCCACCACTCTGTCACTCATCAGTTAAATTACTGCATTATTTGAGAATGCTGTTCAAACTAGACTTCTATGTCTGTACTATAATAATTATGAGTTATTTTTCTTGTCTCTCCTTAGATATTGTTACATTATCTTCCATTGGTCCCTACAAGACTTACCTCCCAGACACGGGTGGTAGTAGGAAGGATGATTTTTCAATTCTCAGAAAAATGATGATAAAATTACACCAAGAATACATCTTTTGCTCTTTGTATCAACAAAACCCAGGAAATCTGCCTCCCATGACCTTTCAACCTAAAATTCAGCCACATACAGATTAACATACTCTAAAAAGTCTTCCAACTATTGAACACTATACACCAACAAGCAAAATATACATCTTAGATTTAAGGATTCTTCACTATCTCTGCCTATGCTATTTCTTCATTATTGAGTCAGTATGGAGTAGCTACTAAGGACTGTGTGGATCATTAACAAACTATGGATAACAGTGAAAACAAGGAGTGTTCTTAATTGGGCTCATGAGGAACCTGCACATAGACCAAGAGGCAGTTGTTAAAACAGAACAAGAGAATATTGAATGATTTAAAATCAGAAAAGGTGAGTGCCAATGTTGTATCTTTTCATCATACTTATTCAATCTATATGTTGAGCAAATAATCCAAGAAGCTAGATTATATGAAGAAGAACATGGCATCAGGATTGGACGACGACACCATAGACAGATGACACAACATTGCTTGCTGTAAGCCAAGAGGACTTAAAATATTTACTGATGAAGATCAAATACTACAACCTTCAGTATGGATACACCTCAATATAAAGAGCAAAAATCCTAACAAATGGACCCATAAATAACATCATGATAAATGACATATCCAAGACTTCACTTTGCTTGCATCCACTATCAACACTCATGGAAGCAGCAGCTAAAAATCACATGTATTAAACTAGACAAATCTGATACACAAGACCTCTTTAAAGTGTTAAAGGAGCAAAGATGTCAGTTTGAGGATTAAGACACGGCTGACCCACGCTATGGTAGTTTTCAATGCCTTATATGCATGTCAAAGTTCAATAATGAATACAGAAAACTGTAAAAGAATCAATGCATTTGGATTAATGTGTTACAAAAAAAAAAAACTGAAAGTACCATGGACTTCCAGAAGAACAAACAAATCTGTTTTGAAAGAAGTACAGCCAGACTGTTCCTTAGAACCAGGATGGCGAGACATCATCTCTCATACTTTATACATTCCATCAAGAGGGAGTAGCTCCTGCAGAAGGACATCATGCTTGGTAAAGTGGATGCTAAGCAAAAAACAGGGAGACACCCCAGTGAAATAGATTGATACAGTGGCAGCAACAATGGGCTCAAACATAACAACTGTGAGGACAACACAAGACCAGGCAGTGGTTTCTTTGTTGTGCATATGGTTGCAATGAATTGGAAGACACTCAGTGGCAGTTCTGGTGTGGCGCTGTGGGTGAATGCACTGAACTGCAAGGTCAGTTTGAACTGCAAGGTAGGTGGTTCAAGCTCACCAACCACTCCTCAGAAACCCTATACAGGGTCACTATGGGTCAGAAGCAATTAGATGGCACTCAACAACAACACGGCACTTAGCAATGCTAAGCAGCTAGTGAAAACTGAGATGTAAAAATCAAACTCCAGAAGTCTTTGCTAGAATTTGATCTTATATATACCAAAAAATTAAGTTCTTCATTATGAGGTATTGTCTCCATATAGGAGTTTACAGTAAGGGAATAGGAAAAAAGGGAAGGAAATGGGGGAGGGAAAGGAAGAAAAGGCAGAGTGTGGATCAGGATAGTCAGAAAAGAGCAAGCACCATGTAAGGAAGAGTAAGGAGACAACTTAACTAGAAGGAAGACATGGAAGAAATGGTAGGAGAAAATCAGAGTATGGTATTTGTTGTTGTCAGGTGCCATCGAGTCGGAACCAACTCATAGCAACCCCATGCACAGCAGAACGAAACAATGTCCGATCCTGGGCCAACCTCCCTACTGCTGCCACACGTAACGCCATCAATGATGCCACCTGGCCAATCCATCTCGTTGGGGAGTCTTCCTCTTTTTCTCTGACCCTCCATCTTACCCAGCATGA